GGTACAGCCCGTTCCCTGCTTCTTTTTTTTCTGCTGTTGCTCTAGCATGGTCACTCCCGCTGTGTCACCCTGCCCTTCCTGCTAGCTCAACCCAGTCAGCCCTGCCCGCTTACGAGTCCTCCCCGTTGTCCTACTGTCGCCGTCCTCACCTGCACCCGACGCTGTTGCGTGTCCAGGTACAGTCTCTCCTTTCAGCACCTTACTCTGTCTCGCACCTTCGCAGCTATCGTCGTGTTCGGCTCCACCCGCCTCTACAGCGCAGTGCCCAGTGACCAATTCGGCTGGGGGACCGTACAGCAGCCGGCAGCCCACCGCTTGCCACAGCAACATCAACACGTCGGGCTGCTCCCGGCTTTATACATAACCTCCTTGCGCAGGGGCCATGCTAATCTCCTCGGTACCGTTCCAATTTTGACGGATGTCCCGAAGGACTATACTCCGACAACAGCCCCCCGCCGGCAGTTCGTGGCGGAACTAGGCCGGTGGGCTCGCTGCAGGTCCCGGCATCGGCACTGGGCCTCCTCCCAAACCAGAAAAAAAAGGTAGAAATAGAAGAAAAAAAAAAAAATACAACTCAAAAAAAAAAATACAACTCAAAAAAAAAAAAAAAAAACATAAAGAAAGGGACGAGGGAGGGGACCATTTATACCTGGTCCTACCCTCACGGGCCCGCGGCTGGCTTCCCTCAGCAAAACCAAAGGGGATAGTCCTGCAGGACCCTCAACCCCTCGGTTCACTCCATAATGCTCCTCCTCGCTTGCTGCTGGCCTCAATCCCGGGATCTGCCTGGTGAGAGTCTGGCACCGTAACCAATAGGGCTGAGCCCAAGCCTGGGTGCAGCAGGCGCAATCCTCCATATGGATAGTATGGCCAGCCAGCCCGGGCCTGCAAACAGTACCCCAGGTTGTTTCTCCCACCTGCGGCCTGCGTCCTTGGCTCCCTAAGGCCGTACATGGCAATCTTGAAGGCACGGCTGCGCCGGCGCACTACACGCGCCGGCTCAACCACGGCAGGGCGGCGGGCCGAGCCTCTCATGGCCTACCACGACGCCTGCCTACCGCCTCTCGGTCGAGGAAACCCCGCTTGTTGCTCTACTTAGTGCCCCCCTTGCTTAGCACCCGTGGCGACTTTTACTATCGTTGGTGCAGCGGCATCCTAGCGCCCACGTAACTTTTACTTGGCACGGCCTTTATACGTCGGTCCCCCGCAAGTCGGACCACACTCCTCTTTAGTCACACTCCTACCTGGTCAACGCGACGCCGCTTGTAACTTCGCTCGTATGTGCGAGGCTGCGGCCGCCTCAGAAACTCTACACTTGTTCTACCGGCGTCGCATGGCCTTCCCCGACCCTGGCTCGGTCAGGCTAACGCGTGCCCACGAAGTGCACGCCCACACACTCTCTAATCAATATAAATGGGGCGCGCCCTCAGATATCGTCAGGCCCGTCCTTCCTGAGCGCTGCGAAAATGTGCCCAAATACCCTTGTAAGGGTATTCGGGCCGACAGTTTTCCGGACCTTAGTAAGCGACGTCCCCGTCGCGTCGGACAATCAGCTCTATAAGCACGACCACAAACACATCTTGCTGACAAGGAAACGACCAATTCGGTTCACCGGCTCGACTCCGTTTGAGGTTGTCTCATCAACCTGCTCCTGTCATGACGTTCCACTGCCAGGGTTTCAACCTGGGTCTCCCATGTCCTAGCCTCGGAGCTAGGGGATACTTTGTTCCGTACTACAGCGTACTACCCGCTCCCAGGTAGTAGGTTGATAGTCCTCTCCCTTCGTCGTAGACCTCTGGCAGTTCACCGTTGGGTGTCCTATTTTGTCATCGTCCCGCGAACGGTGTCATAACTTAGGACGCGGGCCCTAACCGAGACCTCTCAAAAACACAGGGCGCCTTCAGCCGCCCACATGGTAGTGACTACTATCTCAAACCACAACGAACCCCCAGCAGGCGGCTTCAGGTCTCCATCTTGGCCCACCATGGACCGGTCAATCATGCTGAATCCACGGCCCACTGCGTTGTTATGTAGCGATGGTGCCCTCGTTGGTTACGCAACGATAAGCAACTTTTCTATCTTGGCACCCAAAAAGGGACCTGACTCTTGACCTAATCGACCCCAATGACCTTTTCCTCTAGCTAAGCCACTCCGAGTGGCCGACCCTTCAAGACTTAACCTTTGGTAAGTCATGGTCCCGCTGCCAGGTTGTGTCGGTCAGTGGCCCTCGCTGGGAGTTAGGTTCTACAGTTCCAGCGATGCTAAGTATAGCCCCTTAGCTTGGGCTCACAATAGGCCCCTTGAACTAACCCATCGTGGTTTGGCGCTTTCTCTCACAATAATACTCAAAGGATCACATACCGCTGCCCACGGGACAACGTGGAGGCATAGTGCCCTTCTCAATGTTTCATCCAAAATCCTCAATAATTCCACAGGGTCGTGCCTCCCTTGCTCTGATCAAAAGCAGGTAAGGTCACACGTCTTTTAGGGATACTCACAAAACTTTCCAAAGTTCCAACATAACTGCCAGAGGTTTCCATCCATGATTCTCACAAAATACCTGGTCTTTCCTCGTCAGACTTTTACATGCACACAACTAATCATTACTTATAGCATCTCTTTTTAGTGTTCTCCCAAAATTTGATCCTTTTAAGAAAGTCCAATCGGTCATTGGACTTCCCTCTCTCTTTTCCAATCATACACAAAAACACACAACTTTTAGTTGTGACCTATCCATTCATTATTATCTGGGCAAAATACATCATGCCATCATTGTCTCCATAATCTGATAACACTTCCTTTCATTATACTCCCGGCTTCACTTGTCATGGGGCAGGGAGGCATAAGTACAGTGGAAGAAGGTGCCGATCAGTTCACTTCACAACATTCATCTCATCACACCATCATCCAAATGGGCAAGTCCACAAACTGAGAGTGAGAGTGATACGACACACATAACATAAAGACAAGGTCTGAGACTCGCGTGTACACCCAAGACATGGGCCCCCGCACTATGCAAAGGCTCCTATCCTTATTATAGAACTTAAAATATTATACAAGGAGTTCAGGTATCCCATAAAGAATCAAGGTAGTCAAGCGTCGAAGTGTCGGAACTCGACGACCGCTCCACACTCATGAGCGTTATTTTACAAGGGTATCAACACTCTACATCACATTAGCAGAAGGAAAGAAATATAGTCAGACTCAACGTTATCTTATGTACAGAAAAAGGTTCTCAAGTCTATAATGCGATGTAACACCTCACTACTGGCTCAGCCTACTGATGTACATGGGTCTGATCCAATCCTCCATGTATCCCTCTATATACAAGTAACCGTCAGTCGGTGAGTCAGAGACGTCTCGCATATACTAGACTTAGGCCTTTCCGGACCTTATTGGAAAATCCTACTCCTGATCACTCATGACCTCCTGCAGCTGCCTATACAACTGCGCCCTCACCCCATCACGAGTCTTAGGAACTAGGAATCCATTTCTATCTCTCCATACCCCCGATGACTCTCTGGTGCACACTCCATTTGCCTCGTCCTTGAGGCTCTTGGGGCAGTCGTCTAATCGATGTTTGCCCCTCTTGCAATAAAAACACTTGCCAAGCTTCTTCTGGGACATCTTGTCTCCTTCCAGCGAGGGTACAGATGACGGGGTTGTTGAGATCTTGCTCGTAACCTCCTGTTGTGGGACCCCTGAGGAAGCGGGGCAGGCTGCTTTGTCATCTGCTGGCATCCCCAACTCCCCAACACGCCCCTCTGGCCCAGACCCAGTGGCCCAAGATCCCAGTACATCCCGCAAATCAGTAACAATTGGCACCTCCTGAAGCATGGTTGACTCCTGACAGTCCCTCAGGTCCACTCTCCGCTCAGTCCCAACCATGGTCTGGCCCACACTTTCCTGACCCTCCTGTTGCCCCACAGTCTCTTTTCGAATAGTAGGTGGAACCTCCTCAGCTCTCATTGCCTCAACTGGTGGTCCCTCCTGTGGTACTGCCGGCTCGTGTCCCAGTGTCAGGTGAGCAGGTAACCTCCACTCAAACTCTCCGACCTCTGCACCCTTTTCCACAAGCACTCCTGGCTGCTCCAACATCTCTTTGTCGATCAGAGGGATCTCCACACCCTCCTGCTGGTCTGCCTTCTCCACTTCCTTTTCCTTCTTGAAGACCTCCTCTGCAGGTTGTTCCCTGATTTCGAACTTCTGGACCTCTGTCCAATCCACCACCCTTGTGGAAGCTTGTTGGGCATACTTGGCTTCAAGGTCTCGAATCCTTTTCTCCCACTCAGTCTCCTTAACCTGGAAGAAGGTCAGTTGTGTACACAAATAGGCCCTCAGCGCGTCAGTGACCTTGTTAAGGGTCTGGTTGACTTGTCTGACGGCCTTATTCACTGTTGAGATTCTCTCCATGTCCGCCTTTACTGCTGCCAACTCTTTGCCCTGTCTTCCCAGCTCCCTCTTCAGGCCCTCAGCCTCTCTCTCCCAGTCCACCCTCTGGCCATAAGCCTTTTGTGCCGCCTTTGTCAGCCTGTCACCAATCTTCTGATCTGAGGTCCTTGCGGCAGCGAAGCCTTCTCTCATCACGCTCCTTAGGTTGAGCAGGTCTGTAGAGACCAACTTAACCCCCATCTCCTGATGTTGTCCACCTGATCTTCGTGTGGCGTCCATCAGCTTATCGAAGCCCATCCAGACCTCTGAGAACAGAGGAGGGTCTTCCTCCTGAGTGCAGGTACCCTTTCCTTTTCTGTCCTCCACCTCCTCAAGCGCCTTTCCTTACTGCATCCTCTCATGCAGTTTTGCCAGGTTCTTCTTTCGGAGTTGAGTCCTGATCTCCAGCTCCCTTGCTGCCCTCTCTTCTCTGTCCGGCTCCTTTTCATCAACAGACGGTTCCTCCCTCGGCTCTTGCGTATGCGGCTTGTGAGGGATGTTTGACTCTGCGTCAGGCATGGGGCCATCCATCTCCCTCTGAGCAGGTTGTGGAGGTGCATCTGAACCATCGGACCCCTCTGCTCTCTCATGTCGGTGAGACTTGTGTTCCTTCCTCCTTTCCTCCCTCTGAGCCCCTGGTGATGAGCCCTGCTCAAAGGTTCCCCTCGCCTCTGTCTCAGGTTCCCTTCTCCTTTTTTCCACACCTCTCCTCTCACTTGCCTGACGAGCTGGAGTATAATAGTTCCATAGCAGCTTCTTGCAGTGCCCCCAGTTCATGGCAGATGCCACCATGGATCGTACGAAGGGTCTGATATCGTGTCTTACAAACAACAGGAACCTCCCCACTCTCTGCTCTCCTGGGATACAGAGCTCATCCGCATATCGATCATAAGCCCATAAGAACTCCCCCAGATTAGTGGAGTCGAATCGAATGGGTYGTCCATCCCTTCCCAGTGGTGAYGRATGCAAACCCTCCAYCCTCCGTCCAAAGTCTTGCCARCTCAGCWACTCTCTGACCAGTTTAGCAATAGGGTCCGCCCACTCGCCTGTGCCTCGCACCTCTCTCAACATCCTGGTGCTGTCCCATCCAAACTCTCTCGCATGCCGCTCGAACTCCATCACGAACAGCTCAATATTCCCTCCCTGGAAGACTGGAGGCATGTCCTCTCTCCAGGTCCTCATCTGCGTCCTCTGTCGGGTTTTCCCCCAAAGGGGTTTCCACTGGCCCTGCCCCTCCCCTCCCTCTTGGCATGGCTGCCCCAAGCGGTATCAAGCCTGCACAACAGGGAAGAGGCGAACAGAAGCACAGAGAGGGTAAGTGATGTCAGACAAAACACAACAGGAGATGGACATAACCCTCCCACACCTATCTCAACTACCTACTTACACACACATACGCATACATAGTCATATACACATGCAAGTCTAACCACAACCTATCACGCTATTCTACTCAGAGCAGCACCCGAAGTAGCCGCTAGATGACTTTAAGTGGTGGGATCCCTGCTCACCTCGTCTCGAGCCACAAACTTCTTTAGCCTCGAGCCTGACACCCAGTCCTTCCATGCCGTCCCATTCAGCTCTTCGATTTGGTAGGCACCATGTTCACCACATTTGGTGACCCTGTAAGGCCCCAATCACCTCTTCTCCAACTTCCGCGACCACTGCTTTTCCAGGGACGAGTCGTACAACATGAACCGGGGTTGGGCCAGTTCCTTACGCTCTTGGGTCCTGCGTTCTTGCAGGTGATGACCTCGTAATTCCCACACACGGGGTCACACAGGACGAGGAACATAGTCCCGTCATGTTTGTTGAGGATGACCGTCTCTGTCCGACTTAGGAACGATCTCCCAAGTAGAATAGGGTGGTCCAAGTTAGGCATCACAAAGAAGCAGCTCCTTACTTTCACCTTTCCAATTTCCAATATTACTGATGACGCGGTCCCAATGAATATCGATCGGCTATTGGCCCCCATCAAAACCCCGTTGTCAGAGCGGTCTATCTCCATTCCCAGTCGTACGGCATGTTCCTCCTTTATGAGGTTCATTTCCGCTCCACTGTACACCATTGCGGTGCATGTCTTCCCTTTTACCACAACATCAAGGCAGCCACAGACGACAGACTTCCAATCCATCTTAGTACCCGTTTCAGCCCCCTCCGCCTCCTTAGGGATTATAATCCCCAATCGTATGCTGGCTACCATCTTCCTGGATACTCTTGCTCTTAACTCATCCCTAAGTCTAGGCGTTGAGGCTAGTACGTCCTTCAGGTTCATAAGGTGATTATGACCCTCTAGGATTATGTCCATTATCTTTTCCACATCGAAGCCTTCTTCCACTCGGACAACGTACTTCTTCTTCTTTACTTCTTGTGCCTTGTCTGTATCAGGCCTGACACCCCTCTTCTTGGCCCTTTGCTCGGCCCTCTCATCCTCTTCCTTCCTCAACCTATCATCTTCGTCATCCTCTCCTTCTGGAACGTCCACTACCTCTTTCTCTCTACTGGGTTCAGGAACATCCTTGGCTGGTTCTTCGGGAATCACTGGCCCTTTAACCCTCGTTCTGACGGCGTACGGTACCCTCCCCGTCCTGGAAGGTGGTCTGAAAGTCGTGCCTGATCGAGGCGTTGCTCCTGAGGTCGTAACGTTTGGTAGATTCCCGGATTCTCCTTGCGGTCCCGGACCTAGGTCCTAGAGGTATACCGATGGCTCCTTACCTTGCCACTCCTCGACTTCTTCGCACATATCAGCCAGTTTTGTTGGTATCTCCCGACTTTGTCTATCAGGTCCTCCATTCTCTCCATTGTTTGTCGGGCCGTTCTCCAATAGTCTTCCCCTATCTCAGCATGCAACGTCCCGTTCCAGTAATCTTCTTCAATCTCATCATTCGACTCTACTATGATTGGCTCCTCCTTGATGGTGTCAGCTTTCCTTCCTTGCTCTACCTCCTCGTTCTGTCCTACCTCTTCCACCCTGGTGTCGATGTGGACCTCTTTCTCCTGCCACATCCGAAACATGGCTGGAGGGGCGGGTGGTTCACCTGCCTCGACTCGTCATAGGGCCTCCTTCCTCGTCCCGCCTGGAATCTTCGGGTCAAGGTGGTACCCCCACTTGTCGTACATGTCTCCATCATAGTTGGTGCTAATTAAACCTTTGTCCTCGTCATTCCTCCTGACGTGGCAGAACTTAATAGTGTGGTCTTTCTGCCCACAATGCCAGCAAATGGCATTTCTCCAGTCTACTCTCCCTCTGCCAGCACCTCTTCCACCCTCTTGACCGCTTTGACTCCCGAATACCCCAAACCCTCGTTTCCGCCACCTGAAGTGTTACCACCACCATTTCCTCTACCATTTCCTCCACGGCCACCATTCCTCCGTCCTCGGCCCCACCCTTGGTTTTGTCCACTCCCACCCCCTTGATTGCCTTGCGAACCTTGTGGGGCTGACTGCTGGGGTTTGTTTGGCGGTGGGTTCGGGTGGCTCACTTGTTGCGCTTGGGGTCCCGAGCAGCCACAGGAAGCCGCGCTCACTGATGGTCCGGCGCACGACCCATGCGGTCCGCTCATTCGCCACGGGGCGTATGAACAGTGCCCATGCCAATGACTCGAAGGTCCACAACCTGGCCATGGCCCATAGTGAGCTGGTGCAGCCTGACTGGGCGACTCAGGAGGTGGCATGGCTACAGCTTGTGGGACCTGCCCCTTTCCTGAGCCTTGCCCCCCTTGAGCCAAGTTCCTTGCTTTTCTCTGAGCCTCGGTCAACTTCTGTGGCTCAGGCTCCTCTTCCTCTTCCTCTTCTTCTTCCTCCTGCACCACTGCTTTCTTTGCCTTCTCTTGGGTCTGTGGTGCCGCCATAGTTTTCCTTTTTGCCTCTTTCTCTGCATCGAGCTGAGCCACTGCATCTTCTATCAGTTTCTTAAAGTCTCGCCCGCCGCTCGTCGTGGCGTCCAAGGCCTTTCTTTTCTTCCTAGCCTGTCGCATTTGGAAGATGTCTACTTGGTCCAGCTCTCCTTCTATTACACCCTCCTTTATGGCGACCCAAGTGAGCTTCTTTCCCAGCGCAGCCTTCTTGGTTAGCGACGAGGCCTCCCAATTCTTGAAGTGCCCCAGGAAAGTGGCACATTGTTCTTCTTCCACCAATTCGGGGACTTTCTTGGCCATCTTCTCAAATGTCGTTGCGAAAGCTCCCACCGTGGAAAACTCGTCCCGCTGTAACATCTCCAAATCTGTCTTCGTTAACAAGCCATCCCCTAACTAGAACCGCCCCTGCATTTCTGCCTTGAACTTAGCCCAGTCTCCTTCTGCTCCAGCAGCCACCTTCATTACCTCGGGCCGAGTTTCCCGGCAGACGTACCTGGGTAGGAACTTGAATTTATCTGCCTCAGGCACCTCGGCCGTAACCTGCTCCAGCAGCTCCAACCACTCGGATACTTTGTCCCCATTAAAATGGAATATGTTAACTTCCGGCACTTGAAGTCGTGCCAACTCCCTTTTCTCGAGTGCCATGACGAAATCCTCTGGCGTAGCGGCCGGGCCATGCTCGATTTCATCAGCGTCCGGCATCTTCACCTCTTTTTGCTAACCAACCTGACAGGAAAAACAAGGGATAGATCGGTAAGTAGTTCGTCAAGTTTAAAGGGTCTGCCCTACGTCCTTCTTGACCATTCTACCCCTAAGTTTAGCTGACCGCTCTACCATAGTCATTTACGCCCGAGATACAACCTTTAGTCGCACTATACACCACTTAGTCTTATTATGACTTCATATACATCCCTCTTATATAAGCCAATCCATCCTATAACCTTTGTCGTTTTGCCTAGGTCATCAGCCTGCACTTAACTTGGGTTCGTTCTCTTAAAGACCCCGGTAGGCATCCGAGATCCCTTGCAACAGCGACACCTGTCGAGCGCATCGGTCCCGCACGGAAACCCTCCCGGCCACGTCACGCAGGATTATGCAGGACTTGTCGCGGAGAGCGTTTGCCGCTCAGGCCGAGTGCGCCAGCCGTACCTCTCGCGAGCCCCTACGACAGGACAGAGTCATGCGAGGCACCGCTACCTCCACCTGCGGGAGCTGTCACCATCCCTTAGGAGGGTGTATCCCTGCCGAGCTACTTAACCACATACGAAAGCTTTTCATATGCAATTGCAGAGGTGGCCCAGCCGAGGGCGTTTCTCGCTCGCTGTAGCATAGGGGGTACGCGCGGTCGAACGCCCGAAATCGAACCCGTGCGCGAGTCGTCATACTGAGGGCCTGAAATCAAAGACACGATTCGACGCCGGTCGACCAGGACGCACTACTCTCACCACGCGCTACACCACGATACTCATACTTACCCACTCATAACATATAGAAACACACACAGAACGGCCGCCACAAACAACGCCACAACACCACAACTCCTAGTCCCTTCAGTATCCAACCCATACTTTTACGCAACAGAACCAGATAGGCGTCGCGCGCTGGGTTTCCGTATAAGAGTCGAGCGAGCGCATGGCCTCCTCATGACAACCAGCCATTTGGTTATTTGCAAGCATTCGCGCTGATGGGGTACTCTGGTGTACTCGTAGCCTTGCGGCCCTTGATAACTTCGAGGGTTGCCCCAAAGGGTGCGGGGTAAGACGGCCCCTAGGTCAGGAAGGAATTTAGAGCGGTGGTGAGTTGTTTGGCGCATCACCAGTGACACGCTAACCCTTCCGCCCGGATCTTTATCGTCCCACCAAAATAAATTCAAACAAGGATAACATATGTACCCCTAATCTCATTAGACGAGGCCTTGTCGGGACTAGCCCTGTAGAGGTTACCCGAACGTACACTTACATAGGTTACCACTTCAGCAAAACGGGAATAAAACCCTCTTACTCAAACACCAAGTTGTGGGGTAGTTCACTCTCACGACAGTTATGTGGTTTGCCCATCTCAATCCAAGACACGATCACTCAACATAACTCAGATGATACTCTTCCATACATACCTGCAATCACATCACAGAATCAAGCAAAGATCCCCACGCAACACGGGGTCAACTCCAACCAACCTCCCCACTCATACCCTGTGCTTTAGTCATGCAAGCCCCAACCTCCAGCCAACCAACCATAAGTAAGTACTCAGTACTTCTGTTAAATGGCCATTCAATAAAAGTCTGGGTGAAACCTTAACAAAACAGATAAAATCACCATGGCTAAAGCCTCTTTAGGCTGAGTATTGAGGGTGAATTGGGGTTGAGTCGTAGACCGACGATTCGGCAACCGACCTGTTATCAGTGGTAACAGAGAAATAATCTCTCTGAAGGAATGACCTGATCAAATCAGGCTCTCAAGTGATAGCACAGCAACCTGCATCATAGTACAGGCCAACGAAGAGTAGTACTTACGTCTGTGTCAAGGGGAGATTATTCCCCTTAGTCGTACTCTAGCTCCTCTACTARTACCAATTAGTTGAACACCTCCTCTAATCAGTTAGGATCTGCTAAGTAACTTCTAACTGAAAAATATTCTAACTCCCTAAATTTCACGAAATTTAGGCAGCGCTTCCCRTAGGAAAAGTGCCTTTTCATAATTTCTAAGACCCAAAAATGACTAACCCTTTCAGATTTSTAAAAATTTCGGCAGCGCTTCCAGTAGGAACAGGAGGCTACCAAGATTTATACAAAGCTGAAAAAACAGAAAGACAAAGCAACTACACTTGGGACTAACTACTGACGCCTGCTTGATGAATCARGATCAATGACGGCTTACACAACCTCTGGAAGAGACCATGGGCTAGMWTTGGGCCTAACCCCTTGCAGGGCCAGTCCTATCCTCATCCCAAGTTTCCCTCCCGACATCCATCTAACCTACCTATGGCTCCAGCACTTGGCGAGCATCTAAAGCAACTAACCTATCGAAAAGACACCCCAAGTGAGACCCTACAATCATACATGAGCATGCATCTCTCACAATCCCACATACATTTACCCAGGTAGTTCGTTAGATCACTCAGTTGTTCCCTTTCAATAACCCCCTCACTTATGGCATAGGATCAGACAAGGCCCTAACTTAAGGGTATGTCCAACCTGCCTAAATAAACAAGGTACGCACAACTGGACTGCCCTAACTCAAGGGTATGCCCAACTCCAGATAAACTTTAGTCATAAAGCATATGACCAGATCGCCCTAACTTAAGGGTATGCCTGGCTTCAGCTTATACTGACGACATGAAGCATAAGACTAGACTGCCCTAACTAAAGGGTATGTCTAGCCAGCCTTACACAAGTTACATAGGGCATAGGATTAGACTGCCCCAACTTAGGGGTGTGCCTAACCTGCCTAGAACAAGCACGAACGACGAATGGTCAGACCGGCCCAACTTAGGGGTGTGCCTAACCTGCCTAGAACAAGCACGAACGACGAATGGTCAGACCGCCCTAACTTAAGGGTACGTCCAACCAACATCACATCAACGACAAGAGCCTATCACCAGGCCGCCCTAACTTAAGGGTACGCCTGGCTGGCCTAAACAATATAGTTACATAAGACAGAATCTGCGTGAACAAAGCACAACGACATATGACTAAGCCGCCCTAACTTAAGGGTACGCTTAGCCTCCGTAACGACAATCATATGAAAACCACACCATTGATGCATGCACAAACTTTGTGTTTCTCTCTTATTAGACAGATGATCAGACCTACCCAACTTAGGGAGACATCCAACCCTGCCTCGTATTTAGAAGGAAAAATAAAACAAGTTCATACTAACTCGCTGATCCTTTGTCTTATTACGAGCATAGGACCGAGCCGCCCTAACTTAAGGGTACGCTCAGCCTGCCCAGGTTACCTTCATTATATTCTTCATTGCTTTTCTCCTCTTATTGTTCTACCTGACTTACTGACTGGCTTTCCCAACTTAGGGTGTCCCGCCTGCCAGATGGTATAGGTTCGCATGGTATATATCAAAATTGTATACTTGAGATTGACCATTATGTTCGTGGCTTATGACTGAACCGCCCTAACTTAAGGGTACGCTCAGCCTCATGCCGGTGCTCCCCCCCAGAAAAAAAAAACACGCAGAACTGAGTCCACACAACTTAACAGTGTTCCCAGTCCTGTTTTCAGCAACCCATAGAAAAAAAACACCAGGATTCTGAGACATCCCAACTTAGGGTGCCCATCCTCCTATTCAGAAACCCCAGAAAAAAACAGCGGCTGGTCCGTCCAACTTAGGATAGGCCCAGCCCTCAAAACCATACAAGCAGCCCAGCAAACATAAACAAAACACAGCACTGAGCCCACATCAGCTAAGAGGAGCTCAACCTTGGGTTGACCCGGTCAAACACATGCAACCATCTTTCTCCCACCTTCCCCCTGTTCATTCTGTCTGAATTCGCTCAAGAGTTATCTGATCTCTCATATGTACATGTTCATTTCACCTTTAGGCAAAGCATGTCCTGACATACATAGCAAAACAAAAGGTAATAGCCTTTCATATACATATTCAGGTACCCAGGGGATAACAAATAGGGGAAGGGATGACACGGGTTAACGAGGTTATACTTGAAGTTCTCTGCCTCYAGAACCCCGCCTRGGTCCCGGCAGAGCTCCCGCAATCGGTGGGGCAACCTCCCACAGAGGCCTTGGCGCGGTCCTACGGGTTGCAATCCCRCCTGCCGCCTTCCTCTCGTAACCAAAGACCAKACTTAGACTKAGAAGGATAGCGAAAGAAAAGTCAGACTCTCGAGATCCAAGAGAGGTGCACTCAACTCACAGTGAGAGGGCCTCGTCATCTCGATACGCCTGAGGGCCCCGCAATGGTGGCCAGTAGCGCAGTGAAGGTGTCCAACTTGCGGCCAAAATGTAGAATGACAGTCCCTTGCCAACCTCCTTAGTCGCCGTAACGACCCCGCCGTAAGAACGAACAGGAATGGCGCACAACAATGAGTAGTGCTCTGCACGACAGCAGTGCCGAACAACGCCCTGCACTGCGGCAGCGTTCAGAATGGTGCACAACACAGCTATAACCTGCAACAACGCTGGTAACTAATCCACTATAGCACTCTTAACGCTTATACAGCCCCCAGCCTCTGGAGGCCACAGTCCTGGTGCTATGGCTGCCCCCGTTCCTCAGTACACAGTCGTGTAGAGCTAGTGGACAACCACGCGCACAGCGAAACCCTTCAGCGAAACTACAGCAGCATACCAGGCCTAACACAAGGTGGCTCCGCAGCTCTTTTCAACAGTAGTGGTAGCTACTGTAATATTTCCAACAAAGATGCTACAGCAGCTACCCAAAAACTCCCCACAGCCTGCTGCTGGGAACCGCCACCTCCCGGTGGTCCCCCTCCGTCCGAACTRCTGCTCTGAGTCACAAGAATGCTACGTTTGAACAGAGCACACCCTGGCTTTACTCAATGCAATAGTCGCCGTCGATTTCCAACAGACTGGTTTCCTCGCAGCGATCRCATATAATCAGCGTGATAGTGTACCGCCCGCTAGGGTGGCACCACGACTTGTCGGGCCTGGCGACAAGGCGGACGGTGAACGACCCTATTGATGATATCGAAAATGGGTCGCTACTGCCCCCGTAGATTGAGAGAGGGGGCTGTACTTGCAATAGTCCGAACCTCAGTGACCTACARCGGCTTCCTGACTCCCCCAACTGGCCATAGTATACAGTGCACTTCAACGGGGGCTTGGTAACCCACAGTGGTACA